ATAATTACTACCATAATTTAATGTTTATTTATTTATGTGTAATAAACGAACAACTGATTTACAGTAGTGCAAGTGTAGCATGAGTTTACATCTTTGGTTGTGGCTTCACATTCTTAAAATACTTTGTAAATGACCACAAAAGGGCCCATCCTTAGAGGTGTATGCATCCATGATGCTGGGATGCTGTGCTCCTCAGGCTGGGACTGCACAGGAAGCCCAGGTTCGGTTCCCAGTCCAACCTAAGGTAGCAATGGTGGCATGCCCTGTAAGTCCAGCCTTTTGGGAGGCTGAGGCACGAAGATCGTGAGCTCAAGGCAGACCTGGGCAACACAGTGAGACTGTCTAAAAAGAGCTGGGGGTTGTGGTGTGCACCTGTAGTTCCCAAATAGATGGTCAAAGTTGGAGGACAGTGACAAGGCCCTGTCAAAAAAAAAAAAAAAATTACCACAAAAGAAATTTCTTTTTTAAGAATTATCTAATTAAGTTAATATGATTTATTATTATTACTTTTTTTTATGACCAGGAAGAGATAGAGACAGAGAGAAAGTGAGAAAGCAAGCTGCCAGGTCCAAGACTCAAACTATGGTCAGCCATATGAAAGTCCAACATCCTAATCACCTCTCTACCTGCCGGCCCCAAAATTTCTAACCCCAAATAAAAGATTTTTAGTATTTATTTACTCTTTGTTGTGGTTAAATAATTACCTATTTAATTTTATTATGATTATTTTTAAATTTGCTGCAGGATATGCACATTCAAAAGAGAGACAGAGAGAGAGAGGGAAATTGAGAAAGCAAGTCGCCAGGTCCAAGACCCAAACCACAGTTGGCCATGTGGGAGTCTAACGCCTTAACCACCATGCCACCTGCCAGCCCCCACATTTTCAGTACTAAAAATTGAACAAAATACTCCCATATCTACAGTGAGATCTGGCTATGAATATTTGATTCTGCCTGCCTTTTATTTTCTCTTACGTGTTTACCCTTTGTACAAGTTCAGCACCTCTGGCAGTCACTTTGAACTTGAAGATCATGAGGGATTAGAAGACCCATGGTGTTATTCTTACCTTTGACACAGAAATTCTTTAAGGACTATGCATGAAGTGTGTCTTAAAATAAGGGAAGTAATGATAGTTTGCAATCATAGCCTTTACATAAAACTAGTAGGGCTCTGTCTCTCTGAAAGTCATCTTCTATAAAAACTATACCGCTACTCACTCTAAGTGCTGCCATGATTCAAATTATTTGTGGAATTCCTCTTTGGGGGCTGCTGTCAGAGCTAGCAATATATAGTATATAGCATATGTACACACATATATGTATACGTATATACGTGTGTGTGTATATATATGAAAGAGATTTTTGCCTTAGGGCATGTGCACTTGCCAGAGAGAGACAGATTCAGTGAGAGGGAAAGTGAGAAATTACTCCCCGGGGGATGGCCACGCCACAATCCTTTCTCCTACATTCTTTCCCTGGGATTTTGGGCATGCACACACAGTTCCATTCTCTTCCCAGGATCTTGGGCATGCACACACAGCACCCAGCATGAGTTTCAAGTCACCGGATCTGGGACTCAAACTGCCGGTGGGCCATGAGGGAGTACGGTGACATAACCGCTGCACCATCTGCTGGTTCTCAAAATTATATTTTTAGTGTCCTATCTGTTTTTGCTAGGCCTAAATATGCCCCCAAACATAAGAATAGACTCTGTACGATGTTTAAAATTCACCCTTAAGAGATTACGTTTTTTTCATTACTTAGGGCACTCAAAGTAATGTACCTCAGGTTCCAGAGTTGTGAGATTCCAGACAGAACCTGTTTTTCTGATTCAGACTGCCCCTTAGCAATATGACCAGAAACTGGTCAAAGAGTGTTAAGAAATGTTACCGTTTTTATTCTGGAATCTGGAAATGCCTGTAAAACATTTTCCAACATAGCCTTTCAACTCTATTACCTTTTGTTTAACCACGACCTCCTCTCTACCCAAAACCTTTGTGGCCTTCTTTGCTTCTCTGTCCCTGTGTTTATGCTCTTCAGTTTTCAATGAGTTACCCCTTAATTAATTCTACTAAAATGTAGACCTTTATAGACTTCAGTCATTAAGTTTAAGAGATTGCATCTAATTCTGGCCTTCTGCCTAACTCAGTTTTTGTCATGATTATAATATTTAAAGCCACCAGGGTGTGAGATACTGCATCAAGGACTTAAAATATCAGTTCGCTTCATCCTCACAACACGAGAAGTGGGTATTATCCTAAATCCCATTTAACAGATTAAGAGACTGAGGCTCAGAAGGTGCAAACTTTTTGTTCAAAGTCAAGTCACTGCAAAGTGGGCAAGCTAGAATTCAAACACATACCCACACACAGGATTTATCAACTCAGCACTCTGACCTTTGAGGCTGGACAATTCTTTGCCATGGGAATTGTCCTGTACTTTACAGTATGTTTAGCAGTAGCATCTATGGCTTCTACCCATCAGAAACAGCTTCTAATCTAACCTTCCATTTGTGCCAAACAGTGATGTCTCTAGATATCACCAAATGATCCCCAGTAGGGTGTTTAAGAGCCAAGTTCTGGACAAGCAGATGGTGGAATGGCTACATTGCTGGACTCCCACGCACTGGACCACAGTTCGAGCCCTGGACCTGGTGGCTTAAATCTCATGCCAAGCACATGAGCATGTGTGCCCAAAATCCTAAGAGGAGAATGGAGGAGAAGAGATTGCAGTGTGGCCATTCCCCCTGGGGTGGGGGGGGTGATGTCTTGCTTTCTGTGTCTCTGTCTCTCCAACAAGTGCCCTATGGCAAAAAAAGAAAAAAAAAAAAAGAAAAAGAAAAAAAACTCTATTAAAAATGTAAAAATAAGAGCCAAATTCATTCTTTTGTCATGTTACACAGGGAACTAATAAAACCACAGAATTTTAAAGCAAAGTTTTTTAAAAGAGATTAATTTTAGGAATTGCCACACCTAGGTCATCAGAATCAGAAGTTTTTTAAGACTTTCGTTCTGAACCCAAGACATGCAGAATTAGCATTTGCTAGTGGGGGGCAGGCATCTTCTATTTTAAGAACCATAGATCAAATCCTGACCTAACCACACATCTGTTCCTTGAATCACTCCACTCCATTCTTGCCAAATCATTCTCCAGCCTTGGGCTTAACGCTTTCTAAGATGGCATTACAGTTGACAGTTCCATACCCTTCACCTTCCAAGACGATTCCACATTTACATAGCCCTGTGGAAACGTGTTCTTAATATTCTTCCTTATACCTCTCCATCTATGCCCTTCATCTCATTTTACCCAAACTATCACTTTTCTCAAGTCAACTGAATTACATAAACAGTTATCGAATCCCAGTTATGTGGGCTCCAGTCTGACCAGTTTCTTTACCGTGGCCATTAAAATCATCACTGACTCTAAAAAGGACTGTCTAGCCAGTTTTCTCAGCTTAACAGCAGACTTCCTCAGAAGGGCAATTACAATTCATTAAAATCTTTTAATCATCCAGGGTGGGTCTCCAGCTGACCGCTCCCCGTTTGTGATGGGGAGAGGGATGGAGAGTCCTGTCCTGGGGGAATGGAGGTTGCCCCCATTCTCGGCAAGCCTCTTTAAACTTCCTTTGATAGTCACAAGAAGATTCCAAAGTAGTTCCTCTTCTTAGGAAAATCATTCATTACTAGATGCTCTAGATTTCTTGGTTAAAAATACAAAGATAGGTTTTTTTAAAAAATATATTTTTTTTATTTTTTATTTTTATTTTTTTGAGAGAAAAAAATATATTATTTTTATTTTTTATTTTTATTTTTTTGAGAGGTTTTTTGCTACAGGGCGTGTGCACTCACCAGAGAGACAGAGAGAGAGAGAGAGAGACAGAAAGCGAAAATCAACCCCCAGCTTTGACGGCCACTCCCCAATTCCTTCTCCTCCATTCTCCTCTTGGGATCTTGGACACGCACGCACACACGCCCGGCATGAGATTAAGCCACCGGGTCCAGGACTTGAACTGCGGTCAACTACATGGGAGTTCAGCGACATTCGCTAACTGCTGGTCCCTATCTATTATTTTTAGAGAGAGATTTTTGCTGTAAGGCATGTGTGTTTACCACAGACATGGAGAGTCAGAAATAACCCCCTCTGGGGAGCTGGCCACACCGCAACCTCTTCTCCTCCATTCTCCACTTAGTATTTTGGGCACGCACAGACAGGTGCTCAGCATGAGTTTTAAGCCACTGGATCCAGGACTCAAGCCATGGTCAAATAGTGGGAGTCCAGCAATATAATCATTACACCATCTGCTGGCCCCTACAGAAGATATATATATATATATGTATTTATTTATTTATTTATTTTAATCTTGCTTTATAGTGGGCCTTCCTAAGAATATCTTTCCTATGAATTTGAACAATATGAATAAATGTAAGTTAATTTGGTTAACGTATCAAAATTCAGATCTACAATTTACTGTTCTTTAAAGTCAGGTCATCTTTCAGCTTGAACTTTGATTCTCCTCTAAGTCACTATAATAGTTTCGACCCTATAAAAAGTTGCTTTTCAACAGCAGGTATTAGATAACTGGAAGGGTGCAATGGGGTGCATGTTGGTATTGCCAAGGCAGCTGATGCCCCAGTGTCTAAGGTTAACCGTACAGGTGACCCGTCTTGCTGTTAGGTCAGCAGGAGTAGCTCATGTGCTATAAATGTGCACTGGCTGTTCTGACGGCTCCTGGATGGATCTCCAGTAGGCAAGTTATGTTTAGAGAAAACCGAGGAGAAAATAACATGTTAACCAGAATAAACCCTTTGGGGTCAAAATAACAAGCCGGTGTTTTTATACTTGTGTGAGATATAAAAAGAAAACTCGAGTTTCAGTTAGACTCCTTGTCTGTACTTGGGCACCTCCAAAGAAGTGACTGGACAAAGGACCGAACCCCTCATATCATGGATTGCTCTGGAAAGCCTAAGTGTCTTTAATGTGGCAGCCACTCTCTTCTTACAGAGCTTTATAAATGGACACTGACATGGACTACGAAAGACCCAACGTCGAAACCATCAAGTGTGTGGTCGTGGGTGACAACGCTGTGGGGAAGACACGCTTGATCTGTGCCAGAGCATGTAACACCACGCTGACGCAGTACCAGCTCCTGGCCACCCATGTACCAACCGTGTGGGCAATTGACCAGTACCGTGTCTGCCAGGAGGTAAGATGCATGTGGTTTCTTTAGAAACCTTAGGGTATATTGTTGCTGTTTGCTAGCCTGATTTTAAGAAAGGGAAGGGGAAGGCAGGTAAACTACACATTTAAAACAAAACTAAGGCCTAGTCTAGAGGCATAATCTGTAGAGCATTAGACTGCTAGTGCTGGAACCCAAATGAGTGACCACGGGTTCATATCCCTGGGTTGGCCTGAAAACACACCAAGCATGCACACATGCCCAGAATCCTGAGGCTCTTGTGGACTGAGCAAAAGGAATCATGATGTGATAAGACCTTGTTCAGGGTGCTTCTTTCTCTCTTAATTTTTTCTTCTCTCTCTCTTATGTGCATGCTAACATTTAAAAACAAAACGAATGAACAAACAAACAAAAAACTAAACATTGTAGCGCCACAAGAGAAAACAAAAGCAAATGCAAACTTGACGGTATGGTTAGAGTATCTTGAATGAGGATTTGCTTTCATGTAATTCTAGAAAGAGAATTAGGACTTAGCTTATTCCAGTCGGGTGTAATAAGGAAACTCAGAGTAAGTGCATAAGGGTCATTGAGAGGGGCGATCTCAGACACTCTTCTCATGGGAGCCTCTGACCAACACTGAACAGACCCTTTCTCTCTCCTGCAGGTCTTGGAGCGCTCCCGAGATGTGGTTGATGAAGTGAGCGTTTCTCTCAGGCTTTGGGATACTTTTGGTGATCATCACAAAGACAGGCGTTTTGCATATGGCAGGTAAACCAAGATTAGGCTGGTGTGGTGGAGCTGGAGAACGATATCTTTTCAGAACTAGCAGTTGGCTCACAAATCAACAAACACCACATCCCATGGCCTTGAAATATGTTGGGTTCTCTACTGTCTAAGAAAAGAAAAGAAAAGAAAACGTATTGTTTCCTGACAGCAAGTAAAGCAGTCTGCCTTACTCCTCAGGTTTGAAATAACTGGTGCTAGTTAAGCTGGATTGTACTAGGCAAGATTCAGCCACGTCCTCCAGCCTTAGGCTTCTCCGATTGCTGTTTTCCTGAGTGATACTTCACTTGCCTTTTATTAGAAGACTTTCAATTATGTTAGCACTTGACTCTACTTTGGAAGGTCTCTTTGGTCTTTTCATGGCCATATTAGCAGTCCGATGTTATTTACTTTGGGCTTCGTGTTATCTGAAAAGTCCGTTATTTTTATTTGAAGGTCATTTTTTAAAAGAAAGAAAAATATCTCTGAAGTTCTTCACGAGGCATATTTCCAAAATGAACTAAAGCACTAGCGTCTATTTTTCATTTAAACCAAAAAAAAAAAAAAAGGAGAAGAGGTGAAATCCAATTAAGGGAAGATTGATCTAGAAAAACACTAATATGGGTAGGGTAGGAACATGGTCAAAGTGCTTTGAAATATTTAGCATCTTCTATCACTATCACTTTAAGTCTCACCCAGTAAATGAGTTATAGCTGTTAAGATTTGGAAAGGTGGGGCCAGCAGTTAGTTTAATGGCTACGTCTCTGGACTCCCACATAGTTGACCGTGGTTCGAATCCCAGACCTGGTGGCTTAAACGCACGCCAGGCGTGTGTGCGTGCATGCCCAAGATCTCAAGAGGAGAATGGAGAGAGGGGATTGCAGCAGGGCCATCCCCCTGGGGGGTGATTTCTCGCTTTCTGTCTCTCTGTCTCTCTCTGTCTTTCTGGCGAGCGCACGCTCCCTATGGCAAAAACCTCTCCAAAAAAAAAAAGATTTGGAAAGGCAGTTTTTTTGGTTTGGTTTTGTTTTGGCTTTTTTTTTTTTTTTTTAACCACCTAATTGTAAGTGAATATATGCTAAGTTTAGAATTTAGGTATGGCTTAGGTGTCCCTTCTTAACATCCAAAATCATACTACCTGACCGGATTGAAAGGATTGGATTAATTAGCTACTCCAAGCCTATGAATTACTCCTTGGTATTGAAATAAGCTCAATTTCAAAGTGCTCTATTTCTTTGAGTCAGTAACTCTCTAAACAAACTTTTATTGTCATTTATCCAAGTAGTTTAAATTACTGAATAAACGGCTGAGAGAGTTTGCACTGTTCTTAAGAAGCAGTCCACACACTGAAGGAATCTGCAATTTAGAGCAATGTGTTCAAGGAGACTCAGAAAGAATGGAAGTAAAACATGATTTTAATGCCCCCTTGTTAACAAGAACTTTTGAACTTAATAACCAACATTATAGATACTTTTCTTCTTGAATGTCTTGAGTTTTTTTTTTGTTCCAGATATTCTTGATTGCTCTTTTAATTGCTATTTCAACTTTTCTTAAATCCATTGTTCTACAAATAAAATACTAATAATAAATGAACCTGCTTGTAAGCACTATGCAATCAGGTTTATAATACCGGTGGTTTAAAGTAAATGTCATCATTTAAAAATGATGACTTTAAGTAAGGTAAGGGTAGCTGGGATAGATTTCGAAGGACTTTTTGTACTCCTGCTTCTGAAAAGGTGTTGTGAACATGATGGGCCTGAAGATGAGCTTCCTGGCATATGTGAGTTGAGAATTTATCGATGATTTGAACAGTGCCGTGTTTGTTGGCAGCTGAAATTTATGCATTTGAAACAGTGAACGTTAACATGGCTCCACGGTGTGAAATGTGAACTGTGGTAATAGAAGGGCTGCTTCATCATAATGCGAGATGTCTGCTTAGGATTTATTTAATGGCATGATAGCCTTCGTAGCTCTACACCAAGCCTTGTCCAGCTCCCTGAGGTAGCTGGAGTCATTTTACAACTTGTCATGCTTGAGTCTGTTCACTCCCAACAAAAATAAGCTACTCTTTCCTGTGACTGCATCAGTTCAAAGTACATTGTTCTGTTCTCTTGTCTGTAATGTTCTATCAGCTGCAACCTGTTCCCCCTTTGTTGGAAACAGGAAGTGCTCTCCGAGCCAAGTTTGGCTCTCTGCACAACACAGGGGCTCAGGAAACATCCCCATGGTTCTGACCACGTCCTCCTCGGGGCCTCACTTTGCTTGCACACGTGCCTGTACCTTGCATTTCCTCTGTCTTTTCAAGTTCTCCACAGCCTCCAGGCATCCTGTCACAGAACTCACCTCTCGTAAAGAACAAAACCCAGAGCTACTCTGCCCTGGACTCCATCTTTCTGTAAATATGTAATACTGCATTGATGTCACACCAAAACCTACCATTTCTGGAAATGTCTGATAGCTGCAGGAGTTCTTTTTTTGAGTATGAGGCTCTGACCAGTGAAGTTTATTGCTCTAAGAGATCTCTCTGACCTCTCAATGACTTCCATTTTTTAGCGTTATGTCATTCGTAAAGTAGAAAAATCCTAATTGCAATTTCAGTTCGGTTTGCAAACCTGTTTTTTGACTGATGTTTTCACTGTACTTGGGATGAATTGCAAGTCAGTGGGATGCACACAGATATAAACTCTGAACCATGTGGAGTATATACATTGTATTGAGAAATATATTTGGAACCCATTTTAACTAATTAAATCAATTCTGTGGTGACAGTAAGAGAAACTAGATTCCTACCAAGATGCCTTAAGCCTTGCCTTCAGTTTCCTCTGCTTCTTAGAATAAAAATGGTTAATAAGTTGTCCCGTCAAACATTCCTTGCCATAGACAAGCTCTAGTGTGCAGAGTGTGGGTCAAGGGAGTGTCAAATATAGGAGGTTCCCCAACTGAAATTTACAGTTTTCCTAGCTAGGTATAACTATAACCAGAATGACCTTGCTTTTCTTCAAGATTTAAAGGCAACTATTGAACCTATTTTTTTTGGTCAACTAGAATAATAGTTCCAGTTTCTCAAAGGCCTACTATGTGTCAGTCAGCAGAGGAGGAACTTTCCTTTCCTTTCAGGACCCCTAGAGGGCAGGAATGATTTCTCAGCCACAAATAAGGGAAGAGTTGAGGTTCTTTTACTTGCCTAGAAGTGAGTGTCAGAGGCAGATTCAAACCCAGCTCTTCCTGCGTCCTTCCTGGCTCTCACTCTGTCCACAGGGACACACTACCTCAACCTCATTTTAAATAGCACGTGACTGAAAGCCGCCTCATACTGAGGAGCTTGGTTTCTGTTTGCTTTTGCTACTTGTATGAAAGCTGAGAACTAGAAGAGACCTCAAGAGGTCATCTGGTTAACCCCTTTCTTCAGGAAGGGAAATGATCCACCTAAAGAAAAGTCTGATAAGAGTCCTCCTATGCGAGGGGGATGAGAGAGAGCAGTGTAGCTTCAGCTGGTGACGCTTCAGGCATCCGAGATCTGTCAGGCCCTTTCTCCTCTGGAGTGAGCGAGCCAACTCTTGTAGCCTTTCTTTCCCCCTCCTACTTTCTATCCACTTTTGGATGAACTTTTGAAGCTCTTTTCTGGATCTTTTAAAATGTCAAGAACAAAACTGTACATAGTAACTGTGACCATGATCAGCTGCTCATTTTTGGCAAGGAATGAGCCTCTTCTTAAAGGAACATCACTCAACTCAAAAGAGTTTATTTTCCTGGCCTCTTCTGAGAATGTAAGGTTTACATTTAATCCCTGGGCCTGAAAAAGGAGACTGAGGGGGTGAGCTCTGCCTTCAACAGGATGCCTAGGCCCTTCGGCCCTCTCCTCTAGTCACATCACGTGTAAATAATCAGATTTTATTGTTTCCTTCCCTTGAAAACCTCCTCCATTGATCTGTCTCAGGATCATACAACCATCAGACACTGAGTGAAGCTTCTGGGGCTGAAGGCGGTAGTACCAGCAGCTATGGTTTCATCAGGGTGCTCAAGTACCAACCCGTGCAAGGGGCCCTACCTAGCCCACCCTGCTTCATTCATGTGGTACATTTTTGACCCTGCAAAGTCAGCTCCTGTCAGAGTTGAGGAGACAGGCACGGAAGGGGGCTGAGCTCAACAGCTAGGACAGAGGGGAGCTGTACTTTTCTTAGGTCTGTCTGACCCCAAAACCCACATCCTCTCATACGGCCTTGCTCTTATGGGCTGATGATGGTGACGATTGATGGCAGACTTGCTTTCAGCGTCCTCCCAGAACAGTCTACATCTTAACACTGTCCTGTGTGGACGTTAAGACCAGCATTCACCATCCATCACCAGCTCTAATATTCTAGTGCCTCTCTAAATTCTTTAATGCACAGCAAACATTGGGTCATCGGAAAAGTCATGATGTGTTTTTGCATAGAAAACTACATCATGACTTTTCCAACGACACAATAGCTGTAAGTAGCTAAATATGAGCCCTTTCACTTTCAGTAAAAATGATATAGTCAAGCAAGCTTCTGACGCTGAGTGGAAATCTTGACTAATTTATTTGGCACATTTTTCCCCAAAAATATTTAACTCAAACATTTAGAATCCCTGTCCTTCCTCTTTCCCCCCAGAAGTTTCTGGGCATATTTTCAGTCTGGTTAGAACCCATTTACTATATAGTTTATCTTACACATTGATTTTTCTCAAATATTGTTACCTCCTCTGAGAGGAACAGTATGGGTTATAAATAGTAGTGTTCATCAGAGCTATGGTTTCTATGTGTCTGTTTAGAAAAGCTGGGTCTGGTTTCCCATTGAAGGCAACTGTAATCAGATATGGCATGAACACATCCTATTTTGAATGCTCTGTTGAGGCCCTTTAAAAAATTCCGGACTACGGACGAGCAGTTTTGTGTCTTTGCCTGGGATTGGCTGTGCGTGTGGTTAATGATAAAGGGAAAAGTAAGAAACAATGAAAGTAGCTAGACAGAGTATTGTGAGTTAGCT